GATGGATGGTAATAAGCTCTCCTTTATTGTGTATAATAATTGAGGGCTGAAAAATCACCTCCCTGCCAAGTAAAGCAACACGAGCACAGACCTCTGAAGTCACAGCTGTCTGATATGATGTTGAGTCATTCACCTCCCACTCTGTGTGTGTGCGTGTGTGTGTGTGAGAGAGAGAGAGAGAGGGAGATTGAGTGAGCGACACGTTGCATTTCTGGACCTCCTTCCACATCACAAATGATATTTTGATAAGCATTTAATGATGGTCTTGTTTGTGTGTGTGTGTGCTTTAATTATAGATTTGTGTCCACTCCATTAGTGATTGTGCTGTGGACTGAGGTGGCAGAAAGGTCAGTTTCAGAACAACCTGAACAGGCAGAGATAAAAGAAAGAGAGAAAAACACACTATAACACAAACTATTAAAAATAACCACTGGGGGTTAAAGAGAGTGTGTTAAGAAAGAAAGAAAGAAAGAAAGAAAGAAAGAAAGAAAGAAAGAAAGAAAGAAAGAAAGAAAGAAAGAAAGAAAGAAAGAAAGAAAGAAAGAAAGAAAGAACGAAAGAAAGAAAGAAAGAAAGAAAGAAAGAAAGAAAGAAAGATTATATGCTAATTAATTTAAGCATGGCAGTCAGGGATTATCAAGTCTAATGGTTGAAAAATGCTCCAGATTTATTGTTATTTGACAGCTGCATTGAACGTTTGAATAAACAAAATATAACGAAAAACATATGGGTCTATTTAATTATGTCTCTAATTCAAAAATAAATGAAAATGTATTAGACTTGTACTGTAAATAACTCGGGCAAAATTTATTTTATTTTTTATTATGTATTTTTAATTTAATTTAATTTCAATTTAATTTTTGCCATATGCTCAGGTGTGAAAGTATTAAATAAAACTGTTCTCCCAAATGAATATTTATTATTCTGAGGACAAAATATTTCACTTCTTACGAAAAAATATTGAAAAGTAAAAGAATTACCTTTTTGTTTTTGCAGTAAAACAGCAGTATGCAGAATGCATCTTCAGTTCTTATTCTTCTGGTTTTCTCTTCTTGTTTATCTGTCTCACCTGTAACAGCAGTTAAAAAAACTGGTAAAATGATACAGAAATGATCCTAAAACACATTTAAAAACATGAACAATAAACCCAGCAGGCACACAACATCATAAGATGTCAATATTAGTTTAGATTTAGGTCGTGATGTCGGGTGAACAAAACTCAATGTCTAGCCAGTGTCCAAGTACAACATTATTTTGATAATGGGATGTTCTGTCAAATGATGTTGATATTTGGTTGATTTTAGGAAAGTGTTCAAAATCCTACGTCAAGCCAACCAATTAAACCAACGTTATATTAATGTCAAATACTGACATTTATCCCGTCAGGTATGTCAACCAAAATTCAATATTTTTTTATATTAATTTGATATTTGGTTGTTTTTAGGTTGCATTGGAAAGTACCATTGATTTCTGACGTCAACCCGATTTTCATTTCCACCCAAATAATGCAATGCCTCATGATGCTAGGGTACAATCTGAGGTCATGTTGAGTCCTGTGCCTGCTGGGAATATTCAGTATCTGTATTCTGCAAAATGTAAATACATGTAAGCATCCTTCGCTATCGTCATCATACATGTCGACTGTACATCAGCTGTTAAAACATATCTGTCACAACTAGAAATAAACAAGGACTTTTTTTTCTCTCTCCTGAGTTTGGCGACCCAATAATTGCTTCAAAGCACAAGACAAAGTAATTCAAAACACAAACATGACAGATGCATTTTCCTGTAAGATGCTTTTGTTGGAACACATCTTCTAAGAGCAGTGCTCTACATGTCATGTTTGAAAAGCTGCAGCCGCCTGTCTCTGGAAACTCGCACTAAATATTAAAGGCATGTAAATTGAGTCGTCTGTATCAGTCTGAGAGACACAGAGATGATTCTGCCAAGCCTGAGTGGACTGACAGAAGGCTTCATGCTGCTCTCCACCTCCATCTGCAAGGCAAAATTCACTCTTTATCTTTCTGAACCACACACACACACACACACACACACACACACAGACACAAAATCATATGCACACATAGACACTTGCATACACACAATGATATGCACACACACATACTCTAACACTCATGCTTAGTGCACACACTCATCCGCACATACACAGAACACACAGATCCATACAAAAACATGCAGACAAGCAAATACGCATATACACACATAAGCACACACACACACACACACACACACGCACACACACACGCACACACACACACACACACACACACACACACACACACACACACACACACACACACACACACACACACACACAGCACACATTCAGACACACAAACATCCACACACTCTCGGACACAGAAACACACACTTGCACAAAAACAGACACATAAACATGCAGAGAAACACATACATGCATAAACACACACACACACACATACGCACACACACGCACACACACGCACACACACACATGCACAAACATGCACATACACTCAGACACATAAAATTGCACACATACACCTACGAGGATGTGTACACTCAGACACACAAACTTCCACACACACACACACACACACACACACACACACACACACACACGCACACACACACGCACACACACACATGCACAAACATGCAAAAACACTCAGACACATAAAATTGCACACATACACCTACGAGGATGTGTACACTCAGACACACAAACTTCCACACACACACACACACACACACACACACACACACACACACACGCACACGCACACACACACACACACAGGAATGACAGGAATGCACATATAAACACAAACATGCATATACACACACTTGTACACAGAAACATGCATCCACGCACAAAATTCACATTCAGAGACAAGCAAACACACACATGTACACACACATAAACATCTACACACTTAGAGACACAAACACTTGCGCGCACACACACACTCATACAACACACATACACACAACACACAGATACATACAAAAACATGCACACAAGCAAATACGCATACACAAACACAAGCAGGCACACACAGATACACACACACACACACACACAAACATGCAGACACATAAACACACAAGCACAATCACAAACAATATGGAGAGGAGCATATGCACAAACATACACAGACACAATCATGTGCACACACACTCAGACACACAAACTTGCACGTACACACAAACTTGCACACACAAATATACACACTTGCACACACAACACATATGCACACAAACATTTATACACATAACATTTATTCGCAGACACACAAACAAACAAACAGACAGAAAAACACACACACACATCCACAAATATGGATGCACACACACACATTCACAAACATGCCTAAACATGCATGCACATACACACACAAACACACACACACTTGTTCACAAGGAAACATGCACGCATGCACACAATACACATTCAGAGACATCCAAACACACACATGCACAGGAATACATGCACAAAAATGGATGAACACACACACACATGCATGCGCACAGACACATGAACAAACACACACACAACACACATTCACAGACACACATACACGCACAGGAACACACAAACGCACACACACATGCACAAACACGCACACACAAACAACCACACACATGCACAAAGCAAGCTCTCCACTGAGGCCATGGATTATTGATCAGTGTAAAGAGCACACAGAATATAGACCCTTCCTGGAATCAGAAAGAGAGAGAGAAAAGCACTTTTCTCTTTTCTGAACACTCGCCATCTTCAGCCCAGCAGGAAACTCCAAATGCCAGCAGAGCGCTGAACAGAGAAATGAAATGGAAAGAGAGGAAGGGAAAGAGATTGACGGACGTTGTTAGAGAGAGAGAGAGAGAGAGAGAGAGAGATTGTGATAGAGGTGGAGAAGAGGACATGAAAAGGTCAAAATATAATAGCCATCTAGTTTCACCTGCTGTCCTCCTTCACAGATCATGTGAAATAAACAACACACAGCCAGAGAGGAAACAGGAGGGTGTTTGTGTGTGTTTGTGTGCCTCCTTCACTGCAGAGGAAAACTTTTACAGAACTGGAATCAGATCTGACCTTTCCTACTTTTTATGCATGATTCACACATGTTGCTATATCTAATCATAATATCTCGCTTCGCCTTGGAAACAGCATTATGAGGGTGAAATAGATTATGAAAGACGAGCTTTCAAGTACATGTCAGAAACAGTAAGAGTTAGTTTTTACAGAGAGGCTTTTAGACTGCGGGTCAGTTCACTGCAATTTACAATATTATGTACACATGCAGGTGGTGCGGTGGCGCAGTGGTTAGTGCTGTCACTTCACAGCAAGAAGGTAACTGGTTCGAGCCTTGACTGGGTCAGTTGGCATTTCTGTGTAGAGTTTGCATGTTCTCCCCGTGTTCGCGTGGGTTTTCTCCGGGTTCTCGGTTTTCCCCCACAAAAATATGTAGGTAAATTGGGTAAGCTAAATTGTCCATAGTGTATGTGTGTGAATGAGAGTGTGTGGATGTTTCCCACTGATGGGTTGCAGCTGGGAGGGCATCCGCTGCGTAAAACATATGCTAGATAAGTTGACGACTCCAGATTAATAAATGGACTAAGCCGAAAAGAAAATGAATGAGTGAAGTGAATCAGGTTTTAACTAATTTTTTTAAGTTATACAAAGTTTAACTTAATATTTTTAGTCAATCTGATTGATGCAAGATGAGATGACTAGAAAATTTAACTTGATTAAACTAAAAAAAAGACAAATTTAATTCCTTTTAAACAGTCATCTTCACCTCATTAACTCAGATAGTATTGGCTTTAAATACCATGCGGCTGGAAGGGCATCTGCTGCATAAAACATATGCTGGATGAGTTGACGGTTCATTCCACTGTGGCGACCCCTGATTAATAAAGGTAAAAAGCCAAAAAGAAAATGAATGAATGAATGTACGCATGCACAATATCTGAAAAGAAGAATGATCAAGCACCTGTTTTTGAGATGATATCCACTGCAGATCGATACCATCATCAGATCTTCGTTTGTGTGTCGGATGGAGGATTTTCTGATTTTGCACATTTAGATGAAAAAAAGGAAGTTCTGTCAGACAATTTACACCATGAAAACACTTTGTTTTGTTTTGTGTCTTTAGGTTTAATCTTAAAAATTACAGTTTGCTGTCATTTCTTTTGGTGCTTAATTTGAGCCAGATCTTGCCGGATCATGTTCCAGAAAATGTCAGATATTTGTGTTTTGCGTATTTTTTTAATGGATCTGGCTAATCTAATGGATCTTGTGCGAGGTGTATAACTACGAGTTTGTGTGTTCGAGAGAGAGAGAGAGAGAGAGAGAGAGAGAGAGAGAGAGAGAGAGAGAGAGAGAGAGAGAATGTGAATGAGTGCAAGCGAAGGCTGTGTGCGCGAACACACACATGACGCTAGTCACCATTAGCACAAGCTAAAGCAAAAGTCACGTTTAACTATTGGCATTCAACAATATTTTTAGCCAATCGGCTTTCTTATGTTTACAATCACTCTCATTGGTTGGTGATTGTTTTGCGCGCAGTGAGCAGCAAAAAAAATGATAATGGCATAGTGGCCTAAATAAAATCTGTAATTATTCAAAATACCAAAGAGGAAGTCACACATTTTAATATGATTCAAAGCACAAGTAAATCTGATAATGAGCCTGATTAAAAGAGATCTTGAGAAGATGAAACTGCATGAATGGATCAGGATAGCGGGAGACAGAAGCAAAGCGATCTCAAGTCAGCCAGAAAACAAGACAGAAGATTAGACAGAGCAAGATTCTTTAAGATTAGACAGAGCAAGTCATTTAATTATTTTTATGACTTCACACATAATAGTGACATCAACTGAATAGTGATTGTTCATACAATTTGTTTTTGTAGCTACATGTTTTTTAATAATTTTAGTTTGTGTAATACATGCTTCAATATTTATTTAAATTACGTCTAATTTATTTGTAAAATGTAAGTTTTCAGTGTTTTGAGGGATATTTAGTGTATTCTGACCTACAGTGACTAATTATTCTGACCTATGTCTAATTTGACTTTACTTTTAGTCTAAAAAAATCACCTCTTTTAGGAGAAAACTTGTCTTGAGAACATTTCTGATGTGTATCGGTGCTCTCGATCTGCCGGTTTCAGACTGACAAATGGTTAACTTCTCACAGACTGATTGGCACGACCATGCATTCAGAATAGTATAAACCATATAGGGATGGTCAAAATGTATATTTATATTATATATTTTTAAAATATTAAAAGCAGAGCAAAGAAAGCTATTTCTCACTATTAAAGTGCTGACCCCCCTCCCCCCATACATTGTGTTTTGACATCATTTGGGAGGATCAAGTGTTAATTAGGGGGTCAATCCCCCTCAAACCCCCTGTAATTTGTACACTGCACCAGGCGTACAGGTTTCTCTGTGCTGAAAAAGAACCTGTACATTTCTCACAACTGTCAATTTATGCTCTCCTAATTTTTCTGTCTCAAAAATGCTATGAACATGTTTTTTGCTGGACATTAAGAGACATATATTCAGAATTGCAAAGAAAAACATCAGAATTATGAGGAAAATATTTCAAAACTGGCTCATGCAGTGGTGCAGTAGGTAGTGCTGTCGCCTCACAGCAAGAAGATCGCTGGTTCGAGTCTCAGCTGGGTCAGTTGGCATTTCTGTGCGTAATGTTCACCTTGCATACCCGTGGGTTTCCTCCAGGTGCTCCGGTTTCCGCCACAGTCCAAAAACATGTGGTACAGGTAAATTGGGTAGGCTAAATTGTCCGTAGTGAATAGGTGTGTGTGGATGTTTCCCAGAGATGGGTTTTGGCTAGAAGGGCATCCACTGCGTCAAAACGTGCTGGATAAGTTGGCGGTTCACTACGCTGTGGCAACCCCAGATTAATAAAGGGACTAAGCCAAAAAGAAAATGAATGAATAAATATTTCAAAACTGGGAGATATAATACCACAGTTCTGACTTTTCCCACTTGCAATTTTTATGTTTCAAATGACTGTATATCTGATTCTCAAGGGGGTACAACAATTATTTTGTACAATTGAGACTTGGAACTTGTAAATGCCTTTTAAAAATTTGCAGTTCTGAGGGATAAATGTCTGAATTACAAGTTCATATCGCACTATTCTGACTTTGTTTGTCTTTATTACACTGTTTAAAAACTGAATTGTGAGAAAAATACAGATCAATTTATAATTTCCTATATTGTTCATTATTTATTTGCAGAAACAATCTTCCATACAGTTTTGCAGAAAGAAAGTCTGGATTTACTGACGTTTTGGAAAATAACTCAACTGATCTTAGAAACTTTGCAGAAGTTTTACAATCATACACTGAAAAAGATTTTATGAAAAAACCAAATCAACAAATATTTCAGTTGCTTTAACTTATTTAAACAAATTAATCATGTTTCAACTATTTTATGTAAATTATACAAAGTTTAAATCGATGATGTAAGTTAAAATGACTAAAAAAGTTAATTTGATTCAACTACAAACATTAAGTCAGCAACAAATCTAATTCCTTTTTAAACAGTAATAAGGCCAGTTTACATCTCCACCTCATTAACTAACTAATAGTACTGGCTTTAAATACTTTTAATGTGACCATGTGTTATATACTACAGTTCTCTTACAGAAATCTATAGACACTTTTGTAATAATTTATGCTGCGGTGGTGTGAGGTGAAATGGAGAGAGAGGGTTTCTTTTTCATTTCCAGGGATATTAAAGGATGAGGTGAACTTTACCCAAGACTCAGTGTTGTATGCGGATCTATTTCAGTATTCTCAATATAAAACTCTAAATACTTACAGCACCAGAACTGGTCAGAGTTTTCCTGTGGAAACGAGATCTTCAAAAGCATCTCGACTGGAAGCTAAAGGCTTACTTCTGCTTCACTGGGGCTTCAAAGAAAACTATAAAATATGAGAAGAAGAGGGAGAGTTAAGATCACGAAGGAAATTATCAGCAGGGCAAGACATTTGTATCCATGCTGATTACCAAGATTGTGTAATCACTGTAATGATGAATTAATAATGCTCCATATGGCATCTCTCACAAATCCTCAGGCGAATCCCTCTGCCACAGTTACTCTTGCACACTTACAAAAATAAATATATAAATAAGTCTTCTGTTATCAATCCAGTTAACTAAAATTAAAAACTAAAATGCAAAAAAATAATTAAATCTTGCTTGAAATAAAATATCTGATAACTGTTATAAAATATTTAATAAAACACTTCTTGAATAAAAACAAAAGAAAACTTTTCTGATTATTTGTAAGGAAATATTTCTAGGTTGCTAATATTTAAAAACTAAACTAAAGTTTATTTAATTGTTTGGAGAAAGGGATAATAACAACAGTAATAAATAATTTAAGTAATAAAATAAAGGATCATGAAAATTGTATAAGAATGATTGAAATAATTTAATGAATAAATGAACAGTTTAGAGTAAAAGATAACAATAAATAATTGAGATATTTAGGAAATAAGTGAAGTTTATTCATAAACTAATTTTGAGAGGATCACACATGATTGTGATTGACCGCAGCTGATCCTGCATTACGTCACCTTAGAATTATAAGGTTCTGTGTGACATTTTTGTCAAAATTGAGTTATTGACATATTCTTATCAAATGACATCTCATTTACATTATGGGATTTTTTTATAAGTTGTTTACATTTTAAGATTTGACACATACTGTTTGCTATGGAATGCAAAAACCTTGAAGCTCAATATCTCAAAATCATTCAGAACGCAGAGAGAACCTTATAATTCAAGGTGACGATTAGCTAACACATGATTTACAATGATTTACAGATTTTTTTCAGATGAATCCTAACAAACTATAAATAAGCACAGTTTCTTACCTTAGTAATCTACATCTTGAAGAATCCTCGTTTCCACCCATACTCCTCCTCCCTTTTCCTATATAGGGCGGCACGACAGCTCAGTGGTTAGCCTCACAGCAATAATGGCACTGGTTCAAGTCCTTATAGGTCAAACAAAGTTTCAGTGCGGAGTTTACATGTTCTGCCCGTGCTTGTGTGGGTTTTCCCCGGGTTCCCTGGTTTCGTCCCATAGTTCAAAGACATGCGACATAAGTGAATTGACTAAACCAAATTGGCACTATTGATGAGCTCTTAGTCAGGCTCCTACCATGCCTTACAGTCAGCAGTTATCTCTCCATAGCAATCCCTATAATCTGTCACAGGCTCGAACTAAACCAGGAGAGTTCTCGAAACCTACCTAAGCTTAAACTCCCCTCTCACCCTTCAAACGGGAGGGAGCCCGGGGCTTGAAAATCTTCTGAGCTCAGGGCTCTCTCCCAGGACAGCATGCCAGACATGATTTATTATCAGTCATCAGCCAAGTGTGTTGAAATAATAAAAAATTTGACTAGAACAACCTTCAAATAAATAAGCAGTCCAATTATTAGAAAATCACATTAAATTAACCCTATAACCCTCTAAATTAAACTCTACCGCATGGTGTTGCCTTATGGCAACATGAAACTTATGTTGATTTCCCTGCCACTATTTATTTAAATAGAGAAGATTGTAGTGTAGTGATGTGCTTCGGTTAAGTCACATGACATGCTTTGTTTTTCTGTAGCGTGATTTCTGACAGACTGGCGTTTATTGTGAGTATTTGCTGAATGCAAATGTAAACATTAATAAAAACAAAGGATCAACTCATGTCAGATCCACGAAATAATCTGAAACATCACCTCCAGTAAGTTATGATGACATATTCACAACTCAAAAAAAATTTTCAAATTAGTTTTGTGTAAATTGATCAAATGTATGTAATGCCAAATTGCAACACTGTCCAATAGTGGAACGTGTAATAGTGCAATGGGTTAGCTAGCTACAGTAGCAAAGTCAGCTGTGAACTTTTCATGTTGTAACAATAACATCCTGAAAGCTTGTAATATAATGTTGATTAGTCATGTGTTAATGGCATTCGCATTATGGATAAAATTTTAATGGCAATGCTACTTTTAAATATGAATACAGGGAACAGTGTATTAGCGAGCACCACCATGTTCTATGGTAAGTGAAAGAAGAGAAGGACAGAACTGGTTCTTCCTGCAGATGAAAGTGAGGATGAGATGGGTTTTAGTGATCTTGAGAATGATGCAGATGGGACATTTGATAAGAGCAGTGATGAAGATAGTTCAAGTAAGTTAGCTCTGAGGCAGATAAACAGGCGTAGTAAAGTATATAGTATAATATATAAATACTGTTAGCTGGTAGCTACATTATTCCGATGCATCTGGATATACTAGACTAGTTATTTATTTGTTTTAATATTTACTGGAGAAAATATTTATACTTACTGTATGTGGTATACATGATAATACAATATTATATGTAGGTTTTCAATAATATTCAGAAAAAAAAGAATAGAATGAATGAAAGCCGTTGGAATATCTGTTATTGGAAAGTATTTATAAGGTGTTATTTATAAGTTCTGTGTTAAAGCTTATACTGCTACACCAATTAAATCATTTCAAACAACAAAACTATTAATTATAAGGAAAATTCTAAATTTGAAATTTCTAAGTTAGATCCACTGTTGGACGTTGTTGCCATATGGCAACATTTAAAAAAAATATCTTTAAAAAAATTGTTTTTACGGCACTTCAAGTTAAGCCATTTTAAGAAAAGAATCATCATCATCATCATAATGCAGGCAGTAGAGGGTTAATTGAATAATAAAAAGAAGATTCAAATAGATTAGTTAGTAAATCAGTAAATACACTTAACAATTTCCAATAGAATCTACAGTAACTTACTGGCAGCAGTTCGCCAGTAACTTAGGACACACTTTATTTTGATGGTCCATTTGTTGAATTTAAGTTGTATTGCATCTACATGCCAACTAATTCTCATAAGATTATAAGTACACTGTTAGGCTGGGGTTAGGGTTAGTGTAAGTTGACATGTACTTGCAAAGTTTTTTATAGTCAGTTAAATGTTTTTAAAGGAGCAGTATCAACAGATACAGGTATTAAGCAGACAGTCCACTAATACTCAAATGGACCATCAAAATAAAGCGTTACTGTAACTTACTGTAAATCAACTACAGCAAACATACTGTATTTACAGTACATTTACAGCACCATTAATTTTGTTGTTTATGCATTTACAGTATTTTACATCTTCACTGTAAAATATACAGTAATTTTCACAATGCAATTTCAGAATACAGTAACATACTGCATAACTGTCCGACAGTAAAATATAATTCATATCACAGATAAATACTGCGTAATTTACAAAAATCCTTAACAGTGTATATAATGAGTTTAACATTTATGTACATACATAAAAAACTATAAACACATTCCAAATGCTTTTTTACACCCATTAATACTGTACATTTTTTCCTTAAATTATTTAGAAGTTTTAATATTAGGATGTGTTTCTCTATAACTATATTTCACAAAACATTATTTCAAAAAGCAAAGAAAGAAAAAAGGTAAATTACAGAAATGTGTTATCAGTGTTCGATTGAACTCTTATCTCCACCCTGCAAAGACATTGCATTTTCAACCTCCAGCAGTAATGAGCCCAGAAAGGACATAAAATATGCTGCAGTGTGAACAGTACATACTCACAGCATGATGGGTTTACAAGTCAATTACTGCCTCAACACAAAACAAGCATCTGAGATAAAATGATCAAGCGCAACACTCAGAGAACGTCTGTCCTGTGGCTGAGAAAAGCTCAGAGACAACATTAAAAAAACATCATCATCACCATCATCTTTATTACACGGGTGGACAATTCAAGCAGACCACCACTGCCGCAAGAACTTGTTTATTTAAATGATTCACCAGGACTACTTCTCATTTTATCTATAGATGGCCTGCATGGGAGAGCTATAATGATGTTCCGCAATAAATTTGAAAGAGATTATGCTGTTTTTTATTTTCAGTTCACAAATGCACACACGCACTGCATTGCGGCAGGTCTTGCTATGTTAGAGCTGTTACACTGCAGGAATTTGCATCTTACACATTCAAATGAACACACACACATACACACGTGGACACAGCTTTAAAAACACACACACACACACATTTGCACATCACCAGTGTGTTTGTGTGCTGCATTAATAAACAGTAAACCTGTAGTTCATGTTTGTCATAAAAACGGTCTGAGCATCTTTCTCTCTTTCTGTCCATACAGCTGTACATTTTCATATCATTTTCTTTTCAACTCAGTCCGTTTAATAATCTGGGGTCGCCACAGCGGAATGAACCACCAACTTATCCAGCATATGTTTTACGCAGCGGATGCACTTCCAGCTGCAACCCATCACTGGGAAACATCCATACACACTCATTCACACACATGCACGAACAATTTAGCCTACCCAATTCACCTATTGCACATGTCTTTAGACTTATGGGGGAGACTAGAACCAGCAATCTTAATGCTGTGATGCAAACGTACTACCCACTGTGCCACTATGCAGCCTTTTTCATAGATTTTTCATATATGTATTTTTTAAGCAACAGAGCATCGTTTAATCTTTTTAAAAGCTTTAAAAGGGAAGTTCAAAGATTTTGAATTGAATGCAACACAAGATATTCTGAAAATAAGAGATATTCTGTTGGAAAAAATCAGCCATTGACTTTTTTCGTATTTTCTGTTCATGCTACTGATGTCAGTGGCTGCTTTTTTTTTTTGTGTTGCGTTCAATGGCTGCAGCTTTACAGCATTCTCCAGATATCGCCTTTTGTGTTCAGCAGAAGAGAGAAAATCAAACCGGTTTGGACACAAGTGGAGGATCAGTAAATGATGACAGAATTTTCATTTTTCTGTGAAGTGTCTCTTTATGGAAAAATGTTCAGCGAAGTTGAATTTATTAGTACACTGGAATAATTGGCATATTTGTGGTACTTCCAGTTTATATGAAATATTACCTCAAACTGGCAGGCACAAGATCATCACACCTTTTACCACATTAAATCTAATTACTGATTACTGAAAAACCTTGGAAAAACTTAATAATAATAATAATATTCATTCATTTATTTTATATTCAGCTCAGTCCCTTTATTAATCTGGGGTCGCCACAGCAGAATGAACTGTCAACTTGTCCAGCATATGTTTAGGGGGCGCCCTTCCAGCTGCAACCTAGCAAATGGGAAACTTACACACACACACACTCATTTACACACATGGACTATGGACAATTCTATCTTATACAATTCACTATTGTGGGGGAAACCGGAGCACCTGGAGAAAACCCATGCGAACATGGGGAGAACATGCAAACTCCACACAGATTTTTTTTTTCTTTTTTGAAAATACAGCTGTTAGCTTATATTAACTTATGTGTAAAAAACAGATCAAACAGACTCGACAAAAAGAAAAGAAACATTAAACAAAACAACTCAATAATGTTGATTCAGTTCTAGTGTATTGGTTTTTGTCAGACATATTTGGTAAAAAAAAATTATAATTAATATTATTTAGTTAAGTTTACTCAATTTTAGGGAATAATTTTGTTCCTAAAATAAAATGAATTAAAATAACTCACAAAAATAATTAAAATTAAAGTATAGAACAGATATGAATTTTACAAGTTAAATGAATAGAAAAAAGATGCCAGTATAGAATAACAAACACAGTAAAGTATTTCTTATAACACTTAATATTCAAATATAACAAGAAAATAAACAATGAACAGCAACAACAAAACACAATCCAAGATATATCCTTTTTTTTGATAACACTTTGACTTTACTGTAGGCCTTTTTAAATCTTTGTGAACACTGGATAATTAAAACACAAGTTTGCATTCCTGTTAGCTGAAGTCTATTTATTGTTTAAGAAAAATCTTTTTAAATTCTTGCATGTATTAAATAAACTAAAATTAATAAATAAATTCGTAACTAATAAAGTTAACCACAGTAAACTGAACTTTATGTTAGTTACATGCAAGACTTTCTAATACTAAGACATTAAATAAAGCTTCTGTTCTTAAAATGAATCTTCCTATGACCAGCTTTAGAAAAAAAAAAAAAAAAAGGTTTTTAATATCACATTTATCAGACAGTGGGATAAAAATAGCAAAGTGATTTTTCTGAACTGGTCTTCTTGGAGACATTAAAAGCTAGTTTTAAGTTTGGGATCTTTTGTTACACTGCTGAATCAAACAGTGTAAACATGTGAACAGAATGACTGCTACTCAGCCAATTAATATGTCAAGGAGAAAAAAGTTTATGACATTAGCATAAACAGATCATGATCCAGAACTGTGCTTAAAAGAAATGTTTAAATATTTTTTTTCGCCCAACACTGAACATTTACTCACCATCTAATCATCCTCACGTTGTTGAACACAACAAAATCCTGTTAAACACAACAGAAAACATTTTGAAGGATGTTGGTGACCAAACAGTCATGGAGGTCAATGAGAACCATCAACTCTCTGCTTCTTCAAAATATCTTTTGTGTTTAACAGAAGAAAAATAATCATGCAGGTTTAAAACCATTCTAGGTTTGAGTACATTTTTAAAAATGAAAATGTTACTCAAGTGGTTCCAATTATTTATGAATTTTACTCACCCAAAAATTAAAATTCTGTCATCATTTACTCGTCTCAAACTCATTCAAGTTTTGTCTTCTTCTGTTGAACACAAAAGTTATTTGGAAATCTGTAAGTAAAGGGTTACAGGGTTCGAACATTTTTTTCAAAATAACTTATTTTGTGTTTAACAGAAGAATAAAAAAACTTAATAAAATAAAACTTAATTAAATAATGACAGAATTTTCATTTTTGAGTGAACTACCCCTTTAAAAGTGAATGCATCCCAGAAGAGCTTATTGTGGACATGCACATTTGACTGAAATCTATTAATACAGGGCTTTAAAGGGCAGATCTTAATTATGAATGTAAGGAGAGGCTGAAAGAGTCTGCCTGAGACAGAATAGAGAGATAAATATGATCAGAAAAAAGTATTAAATTTCAACTGTTTAAACTAGATATATATTTCATATATTTCACAGACGTTTCGGCACAATGCCTACACACTGAGGAAGGCATTGTGTCAAAACGCCTGTGTCTTTTAATCACCCGTAGAATGTAAGAGAAAAAAAATAATAATAACAGTATGAAGCAATTACTTGAGTGCAAATCATTACCTTTTTTTAAATGATAAATGAGTTCATCTGACACAAACCTATTGCTATGCATTACGGTTTGAGGTGCCCTGAATTTTGTAAAGAGCATCCTGACTGTAGTTTAACTCATTTAAATCATAATAATCTTGTTGCTTAAAATTCAATCTTTACCAAAAATGGACTAAAGAGCAGATTTCCGACAGTTTCTCTCTGCTTTTTGTGTGTGTTTTCCCCTCTTCTCATCAGTGATGTACGAGAGCAGCTCTCTTTGGCCCCTCTGGCTGTTGGCACTGTGAAGAAGCTCATTTATTTTCCCTTAATTTTGTGTGCATCCTTTTTAGTTTCTTCCAGAGAGGGAGAAAGCGAAAGTCTCGGTTAGCTTCTGGCTGACTGCTGCGGCTGTTTAATGTTGACTTTATACAGTGACATTAAAGCAGAAGAGGGAGTGAGGGGTAAAAGAGAGGAAAAAGTAGAACATGGATTTGAGAAAGGAGGATAAAAAAAGATTACAGCCTTCTCCCGCTATCATTTTAACAGCCTTTTGGCATTTAAGTCTGATACATGTTCATGAAGAGCAAACTTCTACTTTTAGATAGGCTGATCTTTAAGTATGGCCAAAAAAAAAGAGCTTTTCATTTATGGTTCAGTGATTTCTTCTATTTTCCTCAAAGTTTGGAGCTGAAAGGGAGCACTTACCGCTCTTTTTAGGGGTCACTGTTGGGTCGGCCACTCTGTGATATGTGATTAAAATGCACAGCTGCTTAGTGGCCTTGTGATACAGAAATCAGCGGACGACTAATTGGAATTGATCTGATCTGCGTGAGCCTCATCGATCTGCATTTCCCTCACAAACGTGCATCAGACATGGACCTGATCAAAAAAGAAAACAAAGTTAACATCTTAAGTTACTAATGTCTCTATTTTCATGTTTGCTGTCATGAATGTTAGTTGACTTCTTAGGAGACAGAATACAGCACTATTTATGATTCGCTGATGTTGATTTTTGACTAAAGATTATTATGTCACACACCCATTAACAAATTAACAAAATTAACAAAGAGTTTGTAACAGGGTAGGTGGATTTTACAGAGGCCGAGAGAGCTAAACAAGCTGCAATTTATGAAAACACGTGCATTTACAAAAAACGCCAGCAAACTGAGAATAGATCTTCATCCATTCACATGTTGAAAATCCTCTCAACGCAAACACATTTTTAAAAAACAAGCTGCATTTTCCCACAACGCAATGAAAATATTTCAAGGAGACTCTAAAATATGACGGACCTGGCTATTTAGGTTAGGGTTATTTAAGCTAATAAATACTAAAGACACAGGAATCGGGATACTAAAATAAACAAACAAAAAAACTCACCTTTCAAGGATCAACTACAGTTGCACCAAGCAATAGTCGCAGCATACCGTCATGTTTTTGGGTCCCCTTGAAACATTTCTGTTGTGTTCCATTGTTTATATTTTGTGAGAAAATACAGTACGTTTTCGTAAATTGTTTGTATTGTGGGAAAATGTGGTGCATTTTTTTTTTGCATGTGTTTGCTGTTGTGTTGCATGTGTGCTGTCAAACAGATGAAGATCTTAATTTATTTGTGTTCTTTGTAATTGCATGTGTTTTTTTTTAAATTGCAGCACATTTAAATTGCACATTAAGCTCTCCTGGACACAGCAGGATTTACTTTAAATAAAACTTCAAGAAAAAATGCTGTTTAAAAAAACATTGTATACAGAGGTCAACATTTGAAGTGGTTCTAAACCTTTTATCAAAGTTGTCCTAAAACCAACACCCATTCATGCCTTAGGACAATTTTGAAAAACATTTTTCATCCAATTCAAATGTTGATTACTGTATGTAAAAAGTGCATAAAAATAACTTGATTAATCTTAAAATAGTGTGATTATTATGATAGCAGATATAAACTAAATTTGTTAATTTAAAAAATAATAAAAATGATAAAAACTCTAATGTTTATTTCGTTCTAGTGAATCCGTTTCCCTGAACACAATTAAATTCTTTTGAATCAAATTATTCAAATACATTTTGCAAAAACAAAGAAAAACAAGTCAAAACTGACTGATGTTCATTTAGTAATAGCAAAAATGTTTGTTTAGAAATTTTCACACACTCACACACGCACACACGCACACACACACGCACACATACAAACCTGATGTTTCTTCGGTTATATTGAACTAGTTTGTTTGGACATATTTCACAAATAAACAAAAAAAAACTAATCACATAATGTTGATTCAGTTCTAATGAATCGATTTGATTCTGATACAGAATCACAAAATACAAAACTAAACTCGATGTTGATTCAGTTCTACTGTATTAATTTGCACAAACTCATTAGATAAATATTTAAATTAAAGACTAAACTTAAAAAAATATGCAATTCAAGTTGAATCAAATTCATTTCAAATTTACTGAATAAACTTTAAATAGTTATAAACATCACAAATTCATATTAACTGTAAAGCATTCTCTATAAAATATTCATTCGTTCAATAATATTCCTTCGGCTTAGTCTCTATTTCACAGCGGAATGAACCGCCAACTATTCCAACATATGTTTTACACAGTGGAAGCCCTCAAAGCCAGAACCCAATATCGGCAAACATCCACACACACTCATTCACACACACTACGGACAATTTAGCTTACCCAATTTACCTACAGCGCATGTCTTTGGACTGTGGGGAAAACCGGAGCACCTGGAGGAAACTTACGCAAACATGGGGAGAACATGCAAACTCCACACAGAAATTAAACCAGTGTCCTTCTTGCTTTGAGGTGACAGTGCTAACCACTGAGCCACTGTGCCTCTATAAAACAACAAACTTTCCATTTTATGAATATTTTTCATGTTTGAAACAAAACAAAATATGTAACATTATTTTCAACTATATTTCATACAATTGTAAGCATATTAAATTATAAAAAAATCAACAACTTGTCCCACTACTATTTATTTAATTTGTTTTAGATTTCTATGATGAGCCATAAAAAGAAGAGACGTTCCTAGAATAACTGCACAATGCACAATCAATAGGATAAAACCTCTCAACAAAAATCCTACGTTCACAATGTTTTTCAGCTGCCGATTTACATAACAGCAAATAATTTAGCAATTAGTAGTGAAGGTCACATCTAAATGAACCATGGCATCAAAAGCAGCCTAGAGGTGTTCAGGAGAGCAGCCTCTCTCAGGTATAAATCCCATCACCACAGTTGTGTTCATTAACTCTATTCCTGAGGTCAGACAGAAAGGTGAACCTGCTAACCGCTCTATACCTGAAGCGGGTAATGACTCTATCCATGTTTATGAACATCAGATTGTACAGACTCCTGTTATTCCAACAAAAAACCCACTGTATGTTCTTCAAAGAGCGCTGGAGACTTACTGTCGGGAGGACGGCTTTATGGATCCACTCGGCTTGTTCTCCACACACAGAGCCTTTCATTTGTTTGTTGTGCAGAATGAGGTTGTTTTTCAGCCTGCAGGATGTTCAGAGACAGAGAGAAAACAACACGAGCTCTCATTCATAAACCCTTATTATAACACAGCTTCTCTCAAATGTCTGGCGAGATCAAACGCAGCGCACTGCTTTCTGCTGAAGCAGGGAGATTTCATTTTGACGTGTGTAACCCTGTGTGCTTTTGTAATATGGGACATAAAAAAGCCTGCTGATTCAGATGCTACAAGTTTGACAACATTGTTTTTTGTTGATATTGTTGATTTTTTTTCCCCAAAATTTGTTTTTCTGAAAAGGGCTCAGGATAAAACAAACAAACAAAATCTTTCTAGCCGAATTGACATTTTCATTCAGTGTTTTTGACCAGAGTTTTCTTGGATTATAATCAACAAGCTTATTTTGACACCAAAATTTTAGATGCCAAGTGAAATTGCGAATAAGGGCTCCACTATTTTAAATAGAGGAGCTCTGCAATTAACAACACAATAACCTTCATTTACCTTTAAAAAACACATAAAAAAATAATGTAGGATAATGTTATCTTCTGAGAGCTGGATATGCCGTAAATGCAGATTAGTGAAAGTTTAAAGCAATGTGTTTGCCTTTTTTACTTTTTGTCCTATTAAATAGTAAATTCAGTGAACATTCAGATAATCCTCTTTTCCTTTTCTTGTGTGTTCAAAATAATGAGAATTTTCTATTGCAGAAATGTAAGGCTCTGCCATCTTACTTTCTGTCTGTTCTGCACATTGTGTGTGGGACTCGACATGACTATAATCATTTTAAGTCAGCATTTTTTTAAAGCAAATTAACTAAGCTAAAAAGTAACTCACGTTTTTTAAAAACTGAAATATTATTACATAATTTTGAAAAGCAATGCGTTGCTTTACTTACATAGAAAAATAATATTATTACGCAAGTCAAGTTACTTGTTATGCGTTACCCCCAACTCTGGTGGTCATATACACTAATAGGGTCAGTAACACTTCCACTTTCTCACAAAGGGTTAATTTACTTGATCAAAAATACAAAAAATGAAAATAAATAAAAAAATTCTAAAAATCTGAAATATTATTCATTTTGATACCTTACTTGTACGCTGTAAAATATGCTTCTTTACAATTCCTTTATGTTGTCCCAACAGAAATCGATTAAGTTAACTTAATTTTTTTTTACAAATTTAAGTGGATTGAACATAAAACAATTAAGTTGTTCCACAAAAACTCAATAATTGTATTGATTCAGCTCATTTTAAACTAGTAGTCTGAACAAGCAACAAAAAAAAATAGAGATTATTTAATTACCTTCATGAAAATACTAAATATATTTACTTTAATCTACAGTATCACATGATCTTTCAGAAATCAGGACTCTAAATATTAAGATATTTGATAAACATTATGTATGGTGTTACTATGTTATGATCAATTTAACACATCCTTATAACACTGTACAAAATGCTGGGTTCCTCACAATTCCTTCATGTTGTCCCAACACAAATTGATTAAGTTGCATTATTCATTCATTCATTCATTCATTCATTTATTCATTTTTTCGGCTTAGTCCCTTTAATTATCTGGGGTCACCACAGCGGAATGAACCACCAACTTATCCAGCATATGTTTGAAACAGCAAATGCCCTTCCATCTGCAACCCAGTACTGGGAAATGTCCATTCATACTGATTCCCACACATACACTAAAGCCAATTTAGATTATTCAATTAACCTATAGTGCATGTCTTTGGACTGTGGGGGAAACAGGAGCACCTAAAGGAAACCCACACAAACACTGGGAGAACATGCAAACTCCAGACAAAAATGCCAACTGGCCCAGCCGAGACTCGAACTAGCGACTTTTTTGTTGTGGGACAACAGTGCTAACCACTGAGCCATCGTGTCGCCCTGTATTGTTACAGCTCATTTTAAATAAGTAGTTTGAACAAGCAGCAAAAGTCCTCTTTTTTTAGTGGAGTTTTAATGTCTTTAAACAATATGTTGTGTAGGGTCCAGCCAGTTGGTCCAATGACGGTGTCCAATGGTGGATGAAGGTTCACTGCATGTTCGGTCTTTCCAGTGCACATTGTTGATTTATATTAAACTTAACTCATATCTGACTCCAATTTTAGTATGAGATGGTTTATAATATTAATATGTTTATCCTCGTTTTATCTGACTCCAATTATAAAACATTGAGAAGGTTATTTTGTTTCCGTTCACATTAATTTAGATTATGATTGAATATTCTCTTCGGTTCATCATTTTATGTTATTCTCGTTCATTGGGATTCCTATAACATCCTGAATCTTGTACCGTCCGAGTATACAATTTCTTAAGCACAAGCATGTCAGTCTTGGTCACTAAACAGTGGCGAATGACCGCTATCATAAAAAGGCAGAACCCTACTTACTCAGATTAGGATATTTTTATGCGGTCCCCATAGGTCTGCTACCTCCTAAATCAGACAGAGCTATTTAGTCATATAATGATCATTACTATAGAATTAAGCAGACCAGTCGTACTTAAACTATTAGTAACTTTGAATAATCACTATACTATCTAAATAGTATTATAAGTTTATCGGGTGAAGGACTATCCCCTTAGATATCCTTTTACAGCCTAAGTATTCATGAATAAATGCCAATTTGTTAGTCGGAGCTCTAGAGACATCGTATAGCGTGCCGCAATGCTCCGTCTACCGTGTTCTAGTCCGCTACTAACCTGAACAGGGGCTTGTGGTGCTATGAAATTACCACAATCTACTAAAGATAATAACACGAACTCTGTTTGAATAATTCAAAACATAACAATTTATTAGTCAGGTAAATGTATTATGCCAAATTCAATCAGTTAATTCATAAATGATCAATACAAAACATCAAATTATCAAAGATAAATCCAAGATGAAAAAGATGCATTCCTGACTTTGAAATATACATAACATGGAGCAAGCCATGTTATGGGCTGATCTGGTTAGGCAGAATCGCCCTGAGCCTTTCTCAAACCTTACCTTAAATAATCCAAGAATTCCCTCAAGGAAGGGGGTGTGTATAACAAAAGGCATTCACACTTAGTGGAAAAGTCACACCCTTCACAGTGGTTCAAAAGATGCCTGAAGTTATATATTTATTGTTTTGATTATGTCTATTTCTGAGAGAATGAGACCATTGTACCAATCGCACTGAGACATTTCAAATGATATTAAACATGATAGTTAAAGTCAGTTTGGTTAATCTAGAACATTCAAACATTGAAATGACCATATGCGTGAGATGGGGGGGGGGATGAAGCTGAGTTTCAGCATACTCAGATGCAAATGCAGCAGGAACTGGTTTTTCCCGCATTCCCCCCTGCTGGGTTGTGGAGTCAATTGGCCCTGTTTTCAGCTCATGTTTTGAATTGTCAAAGACATCAAAAATATTTGTAATATTTCAATTCTTACAGTTGTGAATGGAAGTGTACAAAATCTTCACAAACGCTGGCATATGGAAGGAAAAAACATTGTCTTTTTGACTATTTTTCAGTTTGAACAATATAAAAACTTCAATAAAAAGTGAAAAAAAAATTGTTTTATTAAAGCAAAAACTCCAAAAAGGTCTAAAGGATCACAGAACAGTCAGGGTTTATCCCGCCGCTCAGTCAGTGACCCTGTAGACCTCATACAAAAGTCTCATATCTATAGTCATACTTTCTCTTCTCCGGAAAAAAGCGCTTTGAAGAAGTGACTGAGTCAGGAAAAAAAAGTCTTTCAAGGGTAGCTGAGAATCTCAAGCAGCATTATTGAGGGTTTAGAGGAAAGAAGTGCAGCGCTGGAAAGTTGCGGCGTCAATATTTCAGCAGCGAGTTTTATTTAGGAGGTACAGAGAGAAGGACCATGAAAGATTCACTCGGGGGACGGTGTTTCTCTCCTCTCATGTGTGTGTGCGTGAGTGTGCATTTAAATGGCCACTAGATCCCTAGCTCCGCCGGTGGCCACTGACAAACAACCCGTTGTGCCTGAATGTCTGTTCATTTAAGACAAAACGCGGACTGCCTCTGCGCTTCATTTCAGGTGTGTTTGTTGATGAAAGCGTTTGTTCTGATGTTAGATCAGTGTGTGAGCTGTTTGAATAGATGTTGACGACTGGCCTGAATATAAATGAGAGATGAGTTTAAAACCAAAGCGAGAAGACAAGAGAAGGCGATTCCTTTTGTCTCTCATTACTATTTTTAATTTAGTCTATTGTTGTCTGCATGCTTCACCAGGTGAGCTACTGAGCCAATGTACTATTCAATATATGAAGCTGGTAATAGGTGTGGAATTAGGCATGGAACAATGTTCAATTTCAAGGTTTACCACGGTTTGGAAAAGTCAAGGTTTTAGAACTGCTAAAATTTCCTGTTATACCGTTCCCACGGTATTTGTCTTTTTTTTCTTTTTTTTTTTTTACCACAATTTTATTTAGTTTATTTATTTATTTAAAAAAGCAGCATCCACATCAAAACCTACTGGTCAGCCCACAATGAAAAACAAAATCGCTTAAACATCAACATCCAAGCATGCTATAGACCTGAACAGGGCAGTGGCTTACTTTATATCAAAAGATAACAAAGTTATCCAAAGATGCCTTATCAAGTTATAAAAATCTGTGTTATTGAAACTAATGAATACAGCAGAAGTCAATGAAGTCAAAAGTTTCCTAAAATAAAATATATTGTGTTCAATGGGGGGGAGTGTTGTTTTTAACCCAGACATTTGTGAAGAACTTATTTTAGAGCTGTAATCACAATACCATGAAACCAAGTTATTTTTATCCACGGTTATCATATCATCAGAATCGTATACTGGCTCATGCCTATATGTATATATGCAGTATTTGTTCTGAGGATATATTAGGTTTGCTATGCATGTGTGCTGAACAAAAACAGTGCTTTTTTAAACTGGGACTGGGTGATGATAACAATAACTATAGCAAAATAATTTCCCCTCAAAAACCATAATGTAATATTTATGCATCAAAGCAAATTAAAGGTTGTTCATGTTTTGACAATAAAAGAGCAGTTTATATAATTATCTGTCTGTGAACTCTCATTCAGGAGCAATAAACTCAGAAATGGAGGTTGGACGAATTTATTACAAAACTATTTTTAAAGTAAATCATTGCTTCTTATAAAGAAAATTTAAAAACTATTTTTTCTCCCTGCCCTGGTCAAGACAACCTGCTGCAGTTCAAACCGAGCATCAGAATGGGGAAGAAACGTGATTTAAGTGATCTTGAATGTGACAAGATTGTTGATGCCAGACGGGCTGGTCTGAGTATTTTAGAAACTGCTGATCTACTGGGATTTCCATGCACAACCATCTTTAGGATTACAGGGAATGGTCGGATAAAGAGAAATAATCCAGTGAGCGGCAATTCTGTGGGTGTACACACCTTGTTGATGCCAGAGGTCGGAGAAGAATGGCCAGACTGGTTTGAGCTGATAGACAACAGTAAATCAAATAACCACTAGTTACAACGAAGGTATGCACAAGAGCATCTCTGAACACACAACACATCAAACCTTAAGGCAGATGGGATACAGCAGCAGAAGACCACACCGGGTGCCACTCCTGTCACCTAAGAACAGGAAACTGAAGCTTTTGGTAATTTGCGCAGGCTCACCAAAAATGGACAATAAAAGATTGGAAAAACGTTGCCTGGTCTGATGAGTCTCGATTTCTGCTGCGACAATTAAATGGTATGCTCCAAATATGGCGTCAAAAACATGAAAGCATGGATCCATTCTGCCTTGTATCAATGGTCCAGGCTGGTGGTGGTGGTGATGTAATGGTGTGGGGGATATTTCTTGGCACACTTTGGGTCCATTAATAGCAATTGAACATTGCATCACTGCTACTGCCTACCTGAATATTGTTGCTGACCATGTCCATCCCTTTATGACCACAGTGTACCCATTTTCTCATGGCTACTTCCAACAGGATAACGCACCATGTCATAAAGTGTGAATCATATCAGACTGGTTTCTTAAACATGACAATGAGTTCACTGTACTTAAATGGCTTCCACAGTCACCAGATCTCAATCCAATAGAGCACCTTTGGAATGTGGTGGAACGGGAGATTTGCATCATGGATGTGCAGTCAACAAATCTACAGCAACTGTGTGATGCTATCATGTCAGTACGGTGCAAAATCTCTGAGGAATATTTCCCCTTGTTGACTCTATGCCACGAAGGATTAAGGCAGTTCTGAAGTCAAAACGGGGTTCAACTTAATACTAGTAAGGTGTACCTAATAAAGTGGCCGGTGAGTGTATATATTGCTCTATAACCATATACTCTAAAAATGGTTTAATAAATTTGTAAGTGAGTAAAGTATTTTAATTCCATGAGGTAAATACATACAGTAGGGTTTTGTTGAAACAAACCAGCCTTTTCCTGAGTGTAATTTGTGTGAAAGGGAATAAAACAGGTTAGTGGAAACTTAAATTCTTGCAGTCTTCAAAAAAAAAGTAGATTTTTCCAGTGAGCCAATGTTGGTATTAAGTCTGCAGTTTCCACACAGACTAAAGCTGTCATGATTTAAACAAGCAAGTTTTACAATACAACTACACCACACAAGAAAATTACCTGTCTCTCTTTCTCTCTCTGTCGTTACCTCGCTGCATCTCTCAATCTGCCCCAGTTTTGTCTTTTTAATAGACTCCGATACATTAGAGCTCTTCTAGTCTCCTCATCCAAGAGCGAGGTGCTGCTGTTCACAAGCTCGCATGGGACATTTCCTACAACAGCGTGTAAGTTGGGATGTCACCGAAAACCCACAGTGTTGTCAGACGTCTTGACAAGACAGAGGCATCATTATCCTGACGTTACTATGGGGACAGAAAAAAAACAAGCCCTCATTAGGTGAGAAATTGACAGATGCACACACACAATGAAGCTCACACACATACACACTCGCTGAGACTGAAAAATAACATTAGCTGAGAGCAGTTAAGAGGATGCAGTCAGTCATATGCATGCATGCACATACAAATGAACAATTGCAAAGTCATGTAGAGAGAGAGAGAGAGAGAAAGAGAGAGAGAGAGATGGAGAAATGATGAATGATAAACACATTTTTTGTTGATGATGATGATGATGATGGTGGGCCACAATAGAGAAGACAGGGGGAACTCGTGAATATTGAAATGTCGTTTATGTTTCTGCACGGTGGTCTCAGCTGGAGATTGTTGTGTGTGTTGCATATGTAACAGTTCACGCAGTGATTAATGGCTGCGGTTTCTCAGAGTGGGGATCTGATAAATGTGCCTAATAAATATTTAAATACAACATCAGTAAATCTGATTTGGCTTGCCAACAAGAGCTAAAGAGACTGTAATTCAATTTGAGCGACAGGCCCTGAAGAGTAAAAGCAATGTGTGTTGGTTTAATGCCACGTTGAACATCTAAGCATGATCAATATTTCAGTAAATCACCATTTGACCTTGGATGTGATTGTCAGGCGGTGTTCTATAAATCCATTACTTAACTTCGGATTTGTAAAAACGATCAAACAAAGAGTTCCGACATTGTAGTTCTCTTTATGAAAATAGTTCCAAAGCAGTTCTCTCTCCTCTCTCTCTCTCTCTCTCTCTCTCTCTCTCTCTCTCTCTCTCTCTCTCTCTCTAACACACGCTAAAAGAATGGGGAGAAAATTACTTTTCACCAGGTGAGATAAGGTTATGCTCTTATTCAGCATAGATGCATTAAACTGGCAGCAACAGCAATCGAAAGGTGTTCATGTTATAGTGTGATCGCAGAAAGACGACTAGTCAGACAATTGCATTGGTGCTGATGGTGGAATTATGCAATTAAGGAAAGGTTCATGGAGTTCATTGGCAACAATACTTTTTAGATGACAATTTCTTCTGTAAAGACATCTTTAGGCTCTAGAGGTTAGACATTAGTAAAGTCAGACAGAATCTGCCCATATTCTTTTGCTATTTCTGTAAAAAAAAAAAAAAAAATATATATATATATATATATATATATATATATATATATATATATATATATAATTAATAATAGTATTTTTTTTATTCAGTTGATTTATGTTTAATGTTTTTGATTGCAATGAAGCTGGAAACTAAAATGATAAAAAATGACTTCAGAACTTTTAAGGTTGAAAATGCAAATACAATTAGAGCCACTTGGTAAACAAAGCTAGAACAAGTCTCTCATAATACATCAACTAAAATGCAAAGATTTTTTTTTTTAACAAACTGTATTGTACATAAATCATCTAAACATTTGCATATTATTCAATCTGAATGCGAAGCAACTTCCGGGTCCAAGCGCTATATCAAACTGTATGTGGAGACTCATCAAATGGTAATAATAAACATTTACAAAGTGATGTAATACTGTTGAAAATCATGATCGCAATACACACACACACACATACAAACATACAAACATACACACACACACACACACACACACACACATATATACTGTATATCAATGCCTAATATTCAATAATCAAAAAGTGATTCATTTTCTATAAATTGTTGACATTTTGGTATTTGTGATGCAGCAAGTCCAGAGACTGATGTGTTCACTATGATTTTATATAAAATTCACATTAATGTGTGATATTACTAAAAAGTGATTATAAACAAATATTTTCCCAATTCAAATGATAGCGGCTTGGACCCGGAGACAGTTTTCATACGTCAAAAGTCTGAAAGTTTATTGAACTTAAAAGAAAAAGGTGATGTGAAGTCCATGACTAAATTAATCACGATATTATTAACTGAATAATAATCAGATTTCCTGGTGAATTAGTTACAGCAGATTTCCTTTTCCAAACATTCTTTAAAGAAAAAATAATCAGATGAACTTCACAAAAATGTGAAACATGCTAAATATGTGAAATTTTAAATATAATCGCATTAATTAATATAAGGACATGTTCTGTTTTGTTGAGATCTAAACATTTCTTGTTTGTATAGTTACCATTTGTGATTAAAAAAATAGCCAGTAATTAGGTTGAAGACCGGCAAAAATGCAGGTCCAGTGAAGTGGTTTGAAAAGTGCTTTTTTATTCAATGTTTGACATAATCTTAGCTGAAAAATGAAGAGAGGGTTGGACAGTTGCTCCTCCCCTTTTAAAAAGACAGCCAATAGCATTTTGTTTTTATCACAGCTCTGCTAGCAAGAGAAATTAAGTGTCTTGAAGGAGGCGGGGCATGTGAAATGCTAGAGAGCATTTGATTGGTCAAGATTTGATAAGAGATGAGATCACAAGAAAAAAAGAGCGACGATCCATTTAGGCACGAGTTTTGTCACTGCTCAGGACCCCAATAGCTAATAGATATCCTTAAAACTAACAGAGTCAAACTAACATCTACATTTTTATTTGAATTACACAGGGCCTTTAAAACTGTATGTCACGATACTTAAAAAGCAATGAATGTGTGATGCAGCATCGTAAGAATCTCTGTATTAAATTTGTAAGCAAAAGCATCAGTTTTTGTGATTTATACTAACTGTATAGCTCTTTGTTAACAGTTAACTCTAAAAGGCTTGAGTTGTATTTAAGTTTTTCACCAAATTCTTGTGCAATATCCAAATATATATAATATTCTTGTGCAATATCTATATCTATATATATATATATAGACAATATATAACAAAACAAAACCAGTTTAAAAAAGTACAACTTCTTTAGTCTATGAAATCTTCAACCAAAAGTGTTTGAAAGCTACAAAAAAAAAAAAAGCAAAAAAAAAAAAAAATGCTGCCAAACAGTAAGTTACCTCAGGATTACTTCAGCTTTACAGAATGCGCTATCACAGTGTGTCTGATAGAAAAGAGGAAATGTGAGACGCGCACAAACACCTCGCACCACTCAGACATCACTTAGAGAGAGAGGTGGAGAGAGATGTGCGTCCCGTTGTGGCATACGGCATTGTGTAGCGGAGCCTGTGCTGTTTTCCCAGGGCTCTGTTGGATGATCACAAATACACACTCTGTTGGAGCGGCTGAAGTTTATACACACACACACACACACGCGCACACACACACACACACACACACACACACATACGCGCACACACACACACACACACACACACACACACACACACACACACACGCACGCACACAGTGCTTGGATACACCAGGGATTTGCCAGTATCCATAAAAAGACATTAGCACCCCGTTGAGCCAACAAATGCTCCCTCAGAGACCTGTGGCTCCCAGATCTCAGTCCAGACACAGCGGGAGCAGGAGTATCCAAAAACACCTGTAGATTTCTGATCGTGATTCTCTGTGGGTACATGAAAGACTGAGATCACACAGAAATTGTGTGATTTTTTTAATGCGTCCAGACTTGGAAATAAACTGAAACCAATCTTTTATAATCAACTTGTATAGTTTAAACAACTAAAATATATTTCCTCTCCCAAAAATGACATCATCAATAGTTTACTCATCTTTAGGTCATCTGAATGTGTCGTGAATGTCTTCTTCATCCACTTTCTCAGTAAAAGTGTCTATACCCTGTCAAATAATTTGATTACAGTGTCATTAATGTTTAATCATGACATTTTAATGACAAATTTAGTTTGTGCCACTGTAGTAGCTTATAATAAAAAATAATAATCAATGACACTTTCATAAAGTTCATGACACCAGGATTGTAATGGCCTCAGACAATCATGTTTATGCCAGATTTATGACAAGTTTTGCTGCCTTCATAGGGTCAAGTTGTGATGAAGACTTCTCAAATTATGTCATCTCTGCATTTAAAAATGACAAAACTGAGTGAATTGTCATAAGCATACATGACATCTCATTCATATGACATGTGTTGAGTCATGATTCTAAAGTTTTTGTGACAGTCTTATGAACACCCCTTTCCAGGAAAGTGTAATGGCTTAACACAGACACCTCCACTAGCCACATTGGCAAGAGGGGTCTGGATGCAGACTGGTGCAGTGCAATCTGAGCTACATCCAATGCTTCTTAATGCGCTCACCTAACCCAATCCCCTAACCCTACCTGTCACAGAGACGACACTCGCTCTATTTGAGTGTATTGTGTCTGACATTGCATCGCTGAGAGATGCAATCTCAGCTTGCATCATGAATGCTGCGTCCAGATACTATTGATTTAAGCTAGTTGAAAATAATTTATAAATTGTGGTTTTCTTAAAAGCAGGTTTCGACTATAAGGATGACCCAATATGCGTGCAAATGTGATCTTAGAATTGAGAAACAGCAAGACTAACAAAAAAAATTGCGTTCGTGCGAGCAGAAGAAAGCAGATGAATACCGAATAAGAGGATGATCGCTCACGCTAGCAGCTGATGTGATGCGCGCGACTGTTTAAAGCGCGTGCGCGCTCCTGTTTCCTCGCTTGAAGCAACCGTGCCTGGAATGAAAAGACATGCAATTTAGGGCAGGGTGATTAATCCAATAGTAATTGAAAACAACATACTTGTCAAGCGCACAAGTACGGTCCATTGCAGCCTTTGCATACCCGTGCACCTCCCAAAAAGAATGTAACTAATGTCACAGCAATGCGTAGCACAAACTGTGTGTTGGTCAGTATGGTAGCAGTGATGGGGTGGGCGGTTCGGAGAGCCATGTTTTTGGAAATGTGTGTTTTAATTACAGTTGTTCAGCATTGATGTTCAATAAAATATCCTAGATAATAGATAGTGTGTGTTCACTTCAATTATTTAAATAAAATCAAGTAATGCACCCTTCATCCAAAAATCTCTCACTTGTAATATGCGAGTATATTTACTGTACAAAACTTGTCAGTTAACTGAGGGCAAAAAAATTAAGAAATCAAGAAAATATTTGTTCATTAATTGTAATGGAGTTAAAATGTTCAATTAATCAAACTCTAATAATTACAGAACAGGTCGAAAGGATGAATTTAGGGGAGCCCTTGAGAACTATCTGAGCTCAGACTCCACTCTCGCCCCATGAAATGGGGGGAAACCCCAGGCTTGAGGATCTTTGAGCTCA